TCCTCCTCCTCCTCCTCCTCCTCCTCCCTCCTCCTCCTCTTCCAGCACGACAGCACGGCTGCGCACACGTGCGCATCTGCCGCCGATGCCCCGAGTAGCGGGGCCGCGCTGGCCGCACTCTTGTGTCCGGTTCTGGCGGCCCGACGTGTGGGGACAACCGCCAGGAGAGCGCTTCTCTTCTGCTCGGCGTGTCGACATTGGGCGCCGGGACTTCGCCTCCGGCTACGGTCCACGGTGTACCTTTTCCTGTGCAAGCTATTTCAGCACCGCCTGCACCCCGCGCCCTCCGGCCGCCTGTGGCCCCGCCCGCCCGCGCCCTGTCTCCCCAATTAGTGCTTTGCGCGGCCCGCCTAGCTCTTGACCGGAAGAGGCTCGCTCTCGACCCGCAGACCAACAAAAAGTCGACATTGGGCGGGAAGGGGAGCGGGGAGGGGGGGGTCTGGCTCCGGACCTCTGCTTCGTGCGACTGTTTGCAGCACTGGGTCCTATATGAGGGGAGGCTCCGCCTGCTCGAAAAAGGGGCCCGGAAAACAGAAAATATCTACTCCATGGGGGGGTGGGAGGAGGGGGGGCCCGCGCCGATCGGCAAAACAATAAAAAAACGATCACCAGGTCAGCACAGCTGTTTCTGGTGACCCGTGCGGCGGGACCACACCCACGTTCGCATCTGCCTCCGATGCCCCGAGGGGCGGGACCACACCAGCCGTGGCTGATTCTGCTCCTGGTGGCCCGAGGGGCGGGACGGCACCTGCCGCACTCGTGCCTGCTTCTGGCGTCCCGAAGAGCGGGACCGCACCAACGTACGCGTGTCTGCTTCTGGCGACCCGTAGGGCGGGGCCACACCAGCGCAGGTGTCTGCCACTGGCGCCCGCAGGAGGAGGAGGAGGAGGAGGAGGAGGAGGAGGAGGAGGAGGAGGAGGAGAAACAGGAGGAGGAGGAGGAGGAGGGGGAGGAGAAAGACGACGAGGGGAACGGGGGTGGAGGGGGAGGGGGAACTAGTTGCTGGGCCTGATTTAGGCTGACTTCTGGGTGGCCGTCCCTCCCGGGCTGGAGGCGCCTCGGGGCTGGCCAGGCAGTCCACGGACGAGTTGTAACGGTGGGGCTTCCGGCGGAAGGGCAACACGCCGTGCTGCTCGGGGCCGCCTCGGGGCAGGTGGCGGGGAGGAAAAGTTCAACGCGGTCGTCGTCGTCCTCCTCCTCCTCTTCCGCCTCCTCCTCCTCCTCCTCCTACGCCCCTCCATTCCTTTTCCTTGGGAATATTTAATTCTTCCCTGTCGCATCCCGAGGCCGGTCGAAAGGGCGGACTGGGCCAGGCGTTTCGCTTGAGACTTCCTCACAATTTACAATCGTGAAGCTTGAAAGCTGCAGCAATTTCACCCATGGAAGGCGACCCGCTTTCAAAATATGGTTTTCGCGTTAACGCCACGCACACTCGCTCAAACAAATTGCATGATCTCTTTTTCTGGCCGGGGCAGGGAATCCTTCTGTTCGACGGCGTTGCACTGAGGGCCGATGGGTCCAGGTAGAAACGGAGAATCCCATCTTAAAGCTGGCCAGCTCCACCCAAAGTAGATGGGTGAGTTGGAAGAGACAAAAAATTCTGAGCAAGCGAAGCGCGAGAGGAGAGAGAAACTGGGGGTTGTTGGGGGATGGACGGTGGGTGCAGGACGAGCTTGAGCACACACCTTTACGATCATACTATCGTGAAGGTGTTGTTCTCGCCAGGTATGTCAGAAAAACCAATCATTAACGCGCACGCACAAACATGTTATCTTTTTCTGGCTGGGGCAGGCAATCCTTCTGTTTGACGGCGTTGCACTGAGGGGCCGATGGGCCCAGGTAGAAGACGGAGAAACCCATCTTAAAGCTGGCCAGCTCCACCCAAGCCAAAAATATTTGACCTGCGTAAGCGATCATATCGAAGTTGCTTGTCAGTCACCGAAGCATGGAAGTCCGCGAACCTTTTGGGATGGGCTTGCGCGATCAACGTACGCCAGGGCCCGCCAGGGACCTTCCCAAACACAACCTCGAGGATGACAGCGTCGGGCACCAACTTCGGTCAAGGACTTGTCGGAAGAAGCGAACCAGACGGCGGTCGGTTTCTTCCATGGGGCCCCCACTGGCACAGATCGGTAATCATCAGGTAGCTATTCTTATTGGATGTGAGGTGGGCAATCTCTGGCAGCTTCCAAAACAAACTGGTCTGCGGGATCTCGACAGCAAACGAGATTTTGCGAGACCAGCAGCTTCGCATCACCCGCAGCGTGGCCCTCGTCACCAAATTCGCCGGCATTAATCGTGGGTGCCCTGCAGCCTCGGGGATCCCCCAATGGACAGGCGCAGGGCTGGGTGACGGGCGATACTGAAGGTTGTGCATGGTGGGGCCACCATCACGCCATCAAAAGAGCTGCGTCGAATTGTGTGGAGCAGGTGTTTCAGGACGTGTTTGTCTGAAATATCAAAGGCTGGCCCGTTTTTGAAAACAAACATCTCTGCGATGTGCCCGAGCTACGAGAAAGCCTTGGACACGCGAGCCACGCCAGCAAACATATCAAGCATCGCCAAGGGCCTCTCGCGGCACTGCTGAACGCCAGCTCCTTCCGTCGCACGTCTGGCCGTAGCTTGAGGAACCCCTTTGAAACCTGGCCGGCCCTCTCGCATCTGGCAACGCTGCGGTGGGACCTCCAACGCCCCCTCTCCTTTGCACCTCGTTCAGCGACCTCCGACCCACTGCGACGTCCCACGACGCCCCTGTGCGCCGCATGGAGTAGGGCACCAGGTCGTCGATGTCGAGGGCCTCGGCGGCGTGGCGGATCTCTCGGGCCAGGTCGCTGCAGTCGAAGGTCCACACCTTTGTCTCCCTTGCCGCGCGCCTCTTTTCGAAGTAGCGGGTCACCCATTGTAACTCGGGCACGTCCCACCGCACGGAGTCGTCGACGTCCCTGGTCTTGGTGGGGATGTTGAGCTCCCTTGGTCGGATCAGAACTGACCAGGTCGGGGAGCTCCGCCCTGTTGGAGGGAAGAAATCCACCCCTTTCAGCGCCAGGCTCTCGCCCGGCCGCAGGTGCAGGCTGGCGGTCACGATGCGCCAGAGCCCCATCAGAGGGAGCCCTCGTTGCAGCAGCCACACCGCCAGCCCGCGTATCACCGCCGCCCATGCGTGGGGGGGCCGAGAGTGGCCTGGGCAGAGCCTCTGCCATCCAACGAGGGCGCGCCGTGCTCGCGGCAGCTGCCGCTCGCCGCGTCGCCCCAGCGCGGGTGAGAAGGCCTCCAGAGCCGCCAGCAGGTAGCTCCCGCGGTGGCTGGCGGCCCCCTCCAAGAACATCTCCTCCAGGCGGGCGACCGCCAGGGCATCGAGGTCCCTGTCGTTCAGCTCGTTCCACTTCTGGATCCCGACGTGGTTCTGGAAGTCTCTCGCGTGCTCCGCGCGTCGCCTGTAGATACCCTCGGTCACGGCACCTCTCACCAGGAAGCTCTCGTCGGACCCGAGGCCCGCGGCGAAGCACGTCTGCCAGCGGTCCAGCTCGGCTGCGCGCGCCTTGCGCGCCTCCGCCGTCTGGCCAGAGCTCTCTGGCTGGCCCGCCGCCTTTGCCAGGGGCACGCGCTCCTCCGGCGGCGGGCCAGGCAGGGGCGTCGAGGCCAGGCGGCGGGCCGAAGGCTCTGCACTTGGCCGCGCCACAGGCGCTCGGCCCGCCCGCGGCGCGCCCTCCAGCGGCTTCACCGGGGCGAGGGAGACCACCGTCAGACGCCTTGTCTCTCGGCAACTTTCGCCTTTCGAAGACTCGGCTGGCTGCGCCCGCGGGGCTGAGCTCCGAAGGGGTCCAGCGATCAACCGCGACGAGTCGGCGGCACAGCTGGAGAGCGCATCGCCTTCGACGCAGCGCGAGCAGTTGCCAGCTGGTTGCCCGACCTTTTGAGTGAGACAAAATGGTACTGAGGTTATCGCCCAGGAGAAGAACCCGAGTCGCACGTCCCGACCGAGCCTTGCAGAAACGCCTCAGGCACCACGAGGGAGTACGGCGCTCCTTCACATGAACCGGGTCTAGGCTCCGAAAACGCCCACTATAGATATGCTCCCAGACAAACTTCTGAATCCACGCTTTCGGCGCGCCCTCGAAAACTGGGTCCTCCCCCCAGAGCTCGCAATCCGAGGTGGAGGCCCCGATCGCCGTCGCAGGGTCTGAGAGGGGGTCCAAGACAGCCAGCCCCAGGGCCCGATCGCGATGTCCCCCAAGGCCCGCGTATCTGAACCTGAAACGCTCCGCCAGCCTCCCCGCCTGTTGCACCTGTGCCTCCTTCCACTCCGTCTGCGCCACCCCCATGCCACTGGTACACGCATCGTAGGCGAAAGCGTGGGGGCTCCAGGGCAGGCGAAGTTCCGCTACGCACAGATGCAACGTGCGGTAGGCGCCCCCCAGCTCAGCATACACACTCGGCCACAGAGTCCGTTCACACAGATAGTAAAAACAGATGAAGCGATAGGTGGCCCCAAAGACTGACAACAGCGGGCGACGCATCAGGAAAGCAAAGGTGAGGTGACCCACAAGCATTCCCAACTGTGTGCCGCTCAATCTCCTCCTGCTCAGAGCCCACTGGAGAGCTCCGCGTAGACGACTAGACCGTCTCTCACTTAAACGCATAACCCCCTTTGCCCCGTCGATAACCACTCCGAGAGCTTCGTCGCCATGTGTAGATGTGGTGAGCTCGTGTGTGATCAATCCGACTTCGTCCAGAGCCCTGGTCGCGGCCTCTCGGACCTGCTGAGCCTCGTTTGCCTCCAAACCCAGGCCCCCGACGTTGTCAACATATACGCAATGAGCCAAGCTCGTCCCCTTGGTGTCGAAAACGATGTTGCACGAGCGGTTCTCCAGGGCACTCTCGTGGTATAGGCGCGGCACCTTATACGCGGTGTTCTGCGCGGCCCTCTGCGCGAAAAATAAGCTCCACGTGATTCCCATCGGCAATGCCCTGAGGCACGGATGCACAAACTCGTCTTGGGCCACTGGGGCCCCTTCCACAAGTCCAATCCCCAGAGCCCCAGCTTCAATAGGAGGGAGACCAAACAATTCGCACAGAGGGCCGTCGATGCCGAGCCTATAAGAGACATCCCTGATATATATGTTCAGAGTATCTTTGGGCCCCACTTCGACGCTGGCAAAGTTCCCGACTGCGACCAACGCCGCTCCAGGGGGGCCCCTGAATTCTCGATTCGCTGCGCGCGCATCAACTATCAGACGGAGCCGACCGTCTTTCTTAGCAACAAAAACATGGCGCACTCTGCCCGGCGCTGCCGGGGCCAGGTGACTATGCCCCTTCTTTGCAGCTCTCTCACACAATCCACATGGGCCCGACTACCCCCTCGGAGCCGGGGGTCCATGCAGGGTTTCACTGGGGGCTCAGACCTCATCTCTTCCTCATCGCGGAGAAAGTCGATCGGCAGCCGTTCGAGCATCGAACGCTCTCGCTCGCCCAGCACCTCAGCCGCCAAAGGGCAGTCGGCTGCGTCGGCTGGCAACGACGCGAGGCCCTTCACGAACGGGCGCGCCTTCGCGAACGGGCGCCGGGCTGTCAGACGGGCCGTGGCCCGCTTTGTGCCGGGGAAGCGAGCGAGCTGCTTCAGCAGGCACGGCAAAAGCGGCATCAGCGCAGTGCGAGGCAAGGAAGCCTACGTCTTTGCATGCGACCCCCTGCGCCTCGCGAGTGGGGCCTCCGTCCGCGGGCGGCGCTGTGCCCGCCATCCAGTTCAAAGCTTCGCACGCCTCTCTCACTACCCTCTGCTGTCGCCTGCGCGCCTGCGCACGCTGAACACAGCTTCGGGAGAGACCAAAACGATTAGGGCTTCGACACCTGGAGGTTGAAGAGGGAAGACTTCGCCTGGGAGCCAAGAGCCCAGACTATCGCACCCCCGCTTAGCCCAGTCATGCCCCATCTCAGGCCCGCGACTGAAGACGGAAAACAATGAACAAAGACGGCGTCGCTATGCGCCAAGATGGGGCGCGTCTGGCCCCTCGCCCCCGACTGGGGCGAGGGTCGGGCGACCCCCCCGCTCCCCCTGTAGCTGGCCCTTGTCGCCGCCAGGCTTCCCTCCACGAAGCTCGCGGGCCGCGCGCGCCTTCTCGCGCTGCTTGTCGACCTCTGCTTCGTCTTTGAGCCTGGCGGCAACGTGGCTCTGAAGAACCGGGGCGATACCTCGCGCCCTGCGTCCGAGGCCCGCGAAGTGCTCGGAGCCTTCCCAGACGGCGGCGCCATCGCCCGAGCTTGCGTCCATGATCAGCTGGACCCTCCTGCCCACCAGATCCATGCACGCCAGGTTGCCGATGTTCAGCTGGTCGACGGTGCCCGCCAGCTCCATCACATTGCCTCGCGGGCACTTCGATCATTCTCGGCCATCTTCATGTCGCGCACCACTCGTGTGGAGAAGGCCGTTGGGCTCCCGCCGTCGAGGCGGATGTGGCGGCACAGCCGCGCGGCCGTCCGTGGCCCCATCAGCGGCCAGTCGGTGAAGCTCTTCTCGCTGAGGTTCTCCACCGCGCTCTCCCAGGTGCGGTGTCGCTCGTTCATCCGATCCCGCACCGCGGACAGCGTGCGGAGGTCGTCGTCATCCTCCTCGCGGGTGGGCCCCCGCGCTGCCGTGGCGCCCGGTTCCAGACCCGCAGGCCCTCGGGCCGCCTCGCCCGTGACCTGCATCAGCACCAGCGGCCTCCCCGCGCGCTGGACCAGGGCGCGGTCGCCGACCGCGCAGGCGGCGGGCGAGGCCTCCCAGGGCGTCAGCCGCGCAATGCCATGCCGCTCCTCGGCGGTCACCCACCTGCCTGGAGGTCGGCCCGCGCCCAGCCCATCGCCAACGGCGGCGCCAGCCGGAGCCCCTGCCTCTCCGCGGGGCGTCGGCGGCCCGTCGACCTGCGGAGGCAAGGGCAGCGGCATTGGCGCGACAAGGCATCCCTCTGGGCCCCCAGCTCTTGGGCCAACGGCACCTGGCGGAAGCGGTAGCACCGAAGACTCGGATCCCCAAGATCACCGCCCTGGGAGCCGTTGGACAGGCGGGTCCACGAAGCTACCTCTGGTAGCGCCCACGTCTCCAGGTAGCAGTCCCCGTCCGGCGTAACCACACCCACCTGCTCGGTTTCCCCTTCGGGGAGGAGGACGACGCAGCGCTCGTGCCGCAAGTCCCGCGGCCTACAGTTGTACTCCACCACCGCGAAGTCCCCTTCTCACAAGCCGAAGTGCTCAGCGAACGGATGCTCCATATCGCCGAGCCCGCACCTGTTTGAGCTGCGCACGGGCCTCCTCTCCAAGGACAGCGCCGAGGGTGGCTCCTCGCCCGTCGGCGGCGGCTCGATCGACAGGCACGCTGAGGTCCCCTGGAGAGCCGCCGCGCCCCGAGCCCGCTGTCGGGCTCCGCCCACGCCGAGGATCACCACGACGAGGACCGCCAGCACGCACCCCACCAGCGCGCCGCCCGCGAAGACGGCCAGCAAGGGGCCCAGCAGCCCAGGGCACGCAGGCGCCACTGGGCAGGCCGCAGGCTCTGGGCAGGCGGTGAGCCGCTCGGGCCCGCACCGCTGGAGCTGCTGACCCACCAGCTCGAGGACGCCCTCGTCGGGCGCGGGCGGCGTGCAGTCGCACACGCAAGTCGGGTGCCTCACAGACGAAGCGACCAGCGAGCCCAGCGCGGCGTACCCCAGCTGCAGCGCGTGTTCAATGCACCGCCGGCCGGGGGAAGGGCGCTGAGTCCAAGCTCCTGCAGGACGAACTTGAGCATGCACGTTTACGATCATACAATCGTGAAAGTGTTGTTTTCGCCAGATATGCCAGAAAACCAATCATTAACGCGCACGCGCAAACAATACTTTCGCGGATGGAAACCGCGCTCGCTTCCAAAAGGTGGCTCTCGCCTAAGTGCCGCACGCACTCGTATGAAAAAAACTGCAGCGGCTTCACGGGTCGAAGGCGGTTCCTCGCCAGAGTGTGACTCTCGCCTTCGCGCCGAGCGCGCTCGTCTTAAACACGTAAGAACTTCACGGATGGAGGGCGGCCATCTTCCAAAATGCGGCTCTCGCCTTAGCGCCGCGAAGATTCGGCTTTGAACAATTGCAAGAGCTTCACGGATGGAGGGCGGCCCCTCTTCAGAGCGTGGCCCTCGCCTTGAGAGTGTGCAGGCATGCCACGGATGGAGGGCGCGCCCGCATTCGGAGTATGGCTCTCGCTTCAGCACCGCGCACGCTAGGTCAAAACATGCCAGAGAGCTTCACGGATAGAGAGCGGTTCCTGTTCAACATGTGGCTCTCGCCCTAGCGCCGCGCACTCTCGTCTCAAACGTTGGCAAACATGTCACGGATGGACGGCGGCCATCTTGCAAAATATAGCTCTCGCATTAGCGCCGCGCGCTTTCGTTGTAAATGTTTGCACGGTGTTCACGGATGGAGGGCAGCTCCTTTTCAAAAGGTGGCTCAGAGGTTGGACCAGTTTCAATGATCATCATGGTGACGTCCCAGAACTTGTGTTGTGGCACGATGTCGGGCTGTCAAGGCGCAAACATCATGTTGATTCGCGATGCGGAAGTCCCGGGAAATGTGTTCTGCCAAGATTTCAAGATCATCAAGACGCAACTATGACATTGTTTGCGGCGTTGAAGTCCCAAGAATGGTGTTCTGGCACAGTTCGGGATTTTCTAACGGTTGTCTTCCAACGGGGCACTTCCTTCAGTGAAAATGAACCCTTCTAGGGGCCTATGAAGAGGGACTCGGACAGAGGGTTTACTGCAATATGGTTGATGAATTTTGGATTTACGTTGGTTCTCCTCATCCCCCTCCTCCTCGTCCTCCTCCTCCTCCTCCTCCTCCCCTCCCGGTCCTCGCCGTCATCCTCTTCTCCCACCCCCCCCTCCCACGAGGAGGGGGGGAGGAGGACGAGGAGGGGAGCAGAGGCGAGGACGAGGAGGGGGGGGAGAGGGAGAGACAAAGGGGGGGAGGGAGGAGAGGAGAGGGGAGGGGAGAGAGGGAGAGAAAATGAGACAGGGGGAGGTCGTCGTCGGCGTCGTCGTCGTCGTCGTCATCCTCGTCGTCGCCCTGGTCGTTGCGTGAGGGCCCGCCACTTCGGCAAGCGTGCGCGAAGCGAAAGTGTGACCGCCGTGGCACGGGAGGAGCGCCTGCAGCTGCGCACGGCGCGGTTATATTCCTGATCACGTCTCCCCTTCCTGAAGACCAGAAAGTCCGCGCAAATTCCCCGTGCCGTCCAAGAGCCTCGATCCTCGAATCTGGATCCTCGCGCCTCCTCCTCCTCCTCCTCCTCCTCCTCCTCCTCCTCCTGCTAGGGGCCTCCCGAATGGGGGCCGAGTAGATGGGGTCGGAGGATCGCGCAGCATCGCCGATGCATCGAGGATGCATTGGCGACGTCAGCGATGCGTCGGCGACGCTGGCGCGGAGAAAGTTGGCCTTCCTATCGAGTTGCATCCCCGAGGCATCGGCGACGCGGCGCGGTCCACCGAACCCATCTGCTCGGATCCCATCTGGGAGGCCCGGATCCTCCCCCTCATCTCCCCAGTGGGCGTTTGTTGGGCGGCCCCGCCCAGGCAGGGGACCCCGATGACGAGCAGGCACATCAGCATCTGCTGAGTGCCATCGGCCGCCGGCGCCGCGCAGAAGCCGCCCTCCGCCACGTACCTCCCGCCGCGCCGGGGGAGAGGGTGCATCTCGAGCGGGCTGGCCTGGGATCCTCCTCCTCCTCCTCTTCCTCCTCCTCCTCGTCCTCCTCATCCCCCCTCCTCATCATCACTGACTAAGTATTCTCCTGGACGAGGACGAGGAGGCGGGAGGGCGGGGAGGGAAGGGTCTTCGAGGCTACAGGTTTCTGTGAGCCTTCGGGCCTTCGGGTGGTGCGAGGGGGGCGGCATCCTGACGAGGACGGAGGGGGGGGCCCGAGAAGGCGGGCAACTTGTCAGAAGCCCTCTGGCCTCCGAGAGCCCTTTTGGAGGCCTCCGGGCCCATCTGGGACCCGTTAGGGGGCCACATGCGAACCCTACCCCTACCCCCCACGATTTCTGAGGGGGAGGGTGGGGTTCATTTCGTTCGGGAGGTTCCGAGCGAAGTGAACCCCACCCTCCCCTCAGAAATCGTGGTGGGTAGGGGTAGGGTTCGCATCTGGCCCCCTACCCGTGGCAGGGAGGGAGGGGGGAGGGAGCAGAAGACAGAGAAAACAGCACTGGCCTGACCTTCCGGAGGTCAGCGGGGAGCTCTGGAGCCGGCGCCAGTCCCCCCCTCCGCACAGCAGGGCGGCGCCTCCCGCGCCGCCCCCGGCGTGGGAGGCTCGCGCGAGGGAGGGGGAAACCGAGGAGGAGGAGGAGGAGGAGGAGGAGGAGGAGGAGGAGGAGGAGGAGGAGGAGGAGGAGGAGGAGGAGGAGGAGGAGGAGGAGGAGGAGGAGGAGGAGGAGGAGGAGGGGGGAGGAGGAGGGAGGAGGAGGAGGAGGAGGAGGGTGGGGGCCTGGGGGCATCCGAGAACGGCCGCGCGGCAAGAAGCTCGTGCCGGGGGTGGGCTCGAGAGAGCTCCTGGGGACCACGCACTGCACAGACCACCTCGTCTGAGGCGTGCGACCAGGCTCGAAACAAAAGAGCGAACGCCCATGCCACGTTCATCGGGCAACGCCTGCCCCTCCCCCCTATGCTCAAACTTGGCGGTGGTTCTGATGAGTTGCACTTCGACCGCAGTCTCCTTCAGCGGTGGACAAACCTCCCTTTAGTAAACTTCCATTTCGTGAAAACGGCCTGGGGCCGAAACCGACGAACCTGGACCCGCAAAAATGACGGCCGCGACGCCCTCTCGCGAACCGAACACGGCCAATTCGTTACTCGACGTGTCAGGGTAGGAGGTCTGTCCACCCCCGAGCCAACTTCGAGCTTGGGGTGGGGACGGGGGACTGGGTAGTCGAAGCCAATCTGGCGCCAATCTGGCAGGCCCAATCTGGCAAACGGGGGCAACCTGGCGAGGGAGCCAACGCGAATCCAGTCTGGCGAATAACCCAAATCATCCAGTTTGGCCGGGCCAGATTGGCCCTTGGGGCCCAATCCAATCTGACAGAGTGCTTCCCTCCACCGGCGCCCCCCTCCTGGCGGCACGCACAGGGGGCTGGGGCGCCCCTTCCCCGGCCCACCTCCTGGCGGCACGCACAGGGGGCTGGGGCGACGGGGGCGGCCCCAGCCGGGGGGGAACGGCAGCGGGGGTGGACAAACCTCCATTTAGTGAAAACGGCCTTGTGGGTCCAATCGATCCTGTCGTCGCTATCCTGCTCGCCTCCCTTCGGCATCCGCCCATGGGGGCTGAGCCGACGGGGGGCATGAGCTCGATCCGCTAGTGCACCGAACCGCCGCGAACAGATGCCCCCCGCATGCCCCACCTATCGTCGGCGGTGGACAAACCTCCCTGTAGTAAACCTCCCCTTAGTGAAAACGGCCTGGGGCCGAAACAGACGGACCTGGACCCGCAAAGAAAGACGGCCGCGACGCCCTCTCGCGAACCGAAAACGGCCAATTCCTTACAGGGTAGGAGGCCTGTCCACCCCCGAAACGATAGCGGGGGGGGGGGAGGGGACCATGCTGAGGTCGGGCGTGCCCCCTACAGGCGGATGTTGGGCGAAAGCTGCACGTAGTCGACAAAATCATCAAACATGATCCCAACATGCGGACAAGAATCGTCCCCAGACTATTCTGTGTCTACTTTTGCATATTCCTCCTGTGGAAGGACACGCCCGACTTGAGACCACGCGTTTCGGGTCGGGCGAAAGGGGGGATAGCAAAGGGGGGGTCTGAGAATCAGCTCACGTACCTGATTTTCCCGGCGCCTCCCAGCGCCGGAGGCGGCCATGTATCGAGGAATGGGCCCCTCGGTGAGGCCGAAACCGGCTGCATGCAGCAGATCTCGTAACCCCCCCTTTCCCAATCCCCCCCTTTCGCCCGGCCCGAGCGTGGGGGGGGGGGGCGGGGACCACCGGCCTGGGATCGGCGCTGCACCGCCGACACATCGGCGACGGGGCCCCCAGACGGCGGCAGACGGGCGGGCGGACGGGCCCCCCCCGTCGGTCACCGACGGCCGGCCCGGCGCGGGCAGGTTTCGGGCAAGGGCCGTTTCTATGTTGGCACAGAGATCGAGTTGGGCTGCTTTTTTTCGGGCGGCGGTTCGGGCAGATGATTTTTTTTGTAGCTCGCGGGGCGGGAGTGCCCTCGACAGGGTGCCCACCGGGTGGTGGGCACCGCGGTGCCCCCCGGTGTTAGGTCGGGCCTGTCCCCCTACAGGGGGAGCTTCGCCGAAAAATAATAAAAAAGACCCCCAAAATAACTAAAAACAAAATTTCCCCAAAATAGTCGGGGGGCTACTTTTTGATAGTATGTGTTGATCTTTTTTGGGGCATTTCTGGGGTATTTTTTGTATTTCTCGTCGAAGATCCCCCCGTAGGGGGACCCGCCCGACCTAACCCCGGTGGCGAGTCCACACGATCCTGGGCGGGGTGGGGCCAACTCGGGCCCCTCTCGGCGGACGACTGGGCGACTGGGGGCCGACGCGGCCCGCCGCCCCCCCCCCCTGGAGCCCATCCCGCCCACACAGGGAAGAAGCTTTCTCAAGGGTGGGCTAGAGGTAAAAAAAAAACGTTGTTTGGTTTTCATCCACAGTCGGTTCTGCCAAGTGTTTTGATAGTAGTACTTACTGCAGCTACAGGCCTGGGAATTTTACAAGTAGACGCAGCATGACCCACTACAGATGCGAAAAATACCCCCCTCGCGCTGCCCCTGGCTCTCCGAAGCAGGAGGCTCTCGGAGGCCCCCGAGCCCAGAAGCTTCCGATCCGCTCCCCGGGGCGCCCCTGCCAGCTCTCTCGAGCAGGGGGTCTCGACTGCAGAGCTGATGCACCCCAGGACCGAACTCTTCGACGAAGGATACATGGACTGCCCGCAGATCCACGAGAAGCGCCGACGTGTGTGTTCGGAGACTCGACGCGAGCCAGTCGAGTGTGGGGCGCATCGGTTCTGTGGTCGATCTCCTGCTCGAGCCTTGTGAAGGGCTACCCCATCGCCCCACTCCCCGCTGCGCTCCGGCGGACCAAGGCCGCCCGACGGAGCGGACGTGTCAGCCCGCGGGCCCGCCGATGGAGTCGACCTCTGGCCTTGTGGGTCCAATCGATCCTGTCGTCGCTATCCTGCTCGCCTCCCTTCGGGATCCGCCCATGGGGGCTGAGCCGACGGGGGGCATGAGCTCGATCCGCCAGTGCACCGAACCGCCGCGAACAGATGCCCCCCGCATGCCCCACCTATCGTCGGCGGTGGACAGACCTCCCTTTAGTAAACCTCCCCTCAGTGAAAACGGCCTGGGGCCGAGACCGACGGCCCTGGACCCGCAAAGAAAGACGGCCGCGACGCCCTCTCGCGAACCGAAAACGGCCAATTCCTTACTCGACGTTTCAGGGTAGGTCTGTCCACCCCCGATATCGGCAACTAACGGTGGCTGCCGGCGGCTGGGGGGCATCTGTTCTGGGCGGTCCGGAGCCAAAACCGATGGAACTCATTTCCCGCCACGGGGCACACCACCCTTTTGAGGGATCCCGACCCTCGATGGGCTCCCCCATCGCCCCGCTCCCCCCTGCGCGCCGCCAGACCAAGACTGCCGATGGACTCGGCGCGTCCGCCTGCGGGCCAAGGAGAGGTCTCGACCTCTGGGCGGGGCGCACTTCGTCCCCGAGCAGTGTGTGGACTGCCTCTGGATACCGCAGACGCATCCCCAAAGGCCAGGATTAGGGCCAGGTCGGGCATGTCCTTCTACAGGCGTATCTGTTATATAATAATACCTGTTGCATATAAAAAGAGAAAAGCACGACAAAAAGCATCACCAGACTATTCTTCACACAATTGTTGAATTTTTTTCTTCCTGTAGAGGGATATGCTCGACGTAAGATTCGGGAAGCGGGCTGGGAGATGAAAGAATTCTGCCAAACGTCTGGAGCCTCACCCGACCGGCTGCGACTGCACTGCCGCCCGGAGCAGTTTTTTGTGGACGGCCCCAGGCCCAAGCAAGGTCCCCCAGGGCATAAAATGTGTGTTTGTGTTCGTAGATCTACAGAGATTCGAAAGGTCCAGGGCGTATCCTCCCTCCCCGTACCCCCGACGTCACGTTTTTTTCATGACGTCGACTCCCAGCCGTCTCGACCCGTTCCCCTGGAATGGTTCTTCAACCTGAGTCGGTTTTTGACGGTCCCGAGGCCTGGTGAGGGCCCCCAGGGCCGAAATTAACAGAAACCTCCCGCCGTGACTTTTTCATGACCCGAGGGTCGGGGGCGGCCAAGTGGGGGGTGTCCAAGAGGGGGGGGCGCAAATCATGGCCGGCGGCATGTGCGCGGCCCCGGGGGGGGGGGGCGAGGACGTATTGAAATAAGAAGGGGCGCCATGAAATCTGGGGAAATATCATGGCCCCCGCCATGATATCCGCCCCCCCCTAGTCATCACCCCCCTCTTTTCCGCCCCCGAGAGGGGGTCCGGGTCTCTGAAGGGGAACTGGGACACACAAATACATACACACAAATAAAAACATCTTCCCATCTTTTCGGGGGTTTTGTCTTCCCCCCCACTTCCCATACGGCAGGTTCGTGTCGTGCCGACCCCAGCGTTGGTTTTTGACACCGCAGGGATCGTTCAACCTTGAACGATCGGCCGCTGCCGCAACGTCCGATCGTTCAACATCGATCGATTCTGGGTCGCCGGCGGCGTTCAACCTTGAACGCCCGCGCTGGGGTCGCCGCTGGTCGACACGACGCAAACCTACCGTACTTGTGTGTGCGTGTGTGTGTGTGTGTGTGTGTGTGTGGTGTGTGTGTGTGTGCGTTCGTGCGTGCGTGCGTGCGTGCGTGCGAAGGAGGAGGAGGAGGAGGAGGAGGAGGAGGAGGAGGAGGAGGAGGAGGTGTCTGTGTGTTTCTTTCCCTCCTGAGGAGGGGCCGCCCCTCCCGCCGCTGCGCGCCTGGCGTCCCTCGCGAAGTAGGTGCCGGCGCCCCACAGCGAGGCCTCCCCCCCCTCCGGCGGCCGGCCAGTGGGTCGCGCGCCGCGGCGCGCGCTCCCCGAGGCGCGCCCGAGGGCTCCGAGGGGTCTCCCCCGAGGGCTCCTCGTCCTCCTCCTCCTCCTGCTCCTCCTCCTGCTCCTCTCCCTCCTTCCCCCCCTCCTTCTCCTCTCTCTCTCCTCCTCCTCCTCCTCCTCCTTCCCTCCTCTCCTCCTTCTCCTCTCCTCCTCCCTCCTCCTCCTCTCCTCCTCCTCCTCCTCCTCCTCCTCCTCCTCCTCCCCCTCCACCTCCTCCCCTCCTGGACCTTGAGATCCGACGTTCCAGAAAAATTGGAGCGCCGGGATTTTGGCCGCTTTCGGCCTCTGGGGGCCCTCGCCGGGCCTCGGGAGCGTCAAAGAAAACGACTCAGGACGAAAAGCCAGTCCCGGGGAAGTGGTCCGGACCTCCTGGGCCCACGCACCGAAACCAAAAAATGGAGCAGCGGGATGTCTCGGGAGGGCCCCGAGAGGCTGAAATCGTAGATTCGACCCACGTTTTTGGGGAGATTTCAGCGCCGGTCCCCTCCGGGCTTTCGACGGTCCAGGGCGGCTCAAGAGGCCTGCAAGGTCGCCCCCAGACGGCCCAAGAGGGCCCCCAGACGTCCCAAGAGGGGCCCAAGACGGCCCAAGGGGCCCCAAGAGGGACCCAAGAGGGCCTTACAGGTCTGCAATAGGGCCGTGGCTAATTCGCCTGCTAATGAGAGTCAGGCTTCTGGGGGTCAGATTCAACGAGCACACTAAGGACACCTGAGTTCTAGCAAAGATACAGGCGCTGGCGAAGAATTTCCAAAGGTATTGCACAGGAGTGCCCAAGAACGAACTATTGTTTGAGACAAATGCGGCCCCGAACAAGGAACATCAAAAGAACTGAGCCTACCTTTCCCCGATCCCCGAAAGGCTGGCCCCCAATAGCAGGCGAAGGAGTGGCGCAAAACCTAGAGGCCTCCTAGATGGGGTCCGAACGGATGGGGTGATCGGAGGATCGCGCAGCATCGCCAAAGCACCGGCGATGCATCGGCGACGTCGGCGATGCATCGGCGCCATCGGCGCGGAGAAACTCCGGGGGGAGGGGCAGCGGGGAGCCTCAGGCCCTCTTTGCCTGCACAAGGTGGACCCGGGGCAAGAGCGGCCTCTGGTGCATGGCTTTGGGGGGCCGCGCTCGCCATCGCTCGGACGTCCATTCCCTGTGCTTCTTTCGGTTTCGTGCGTGTTTTTTTCGCCAAATGATCAAGGATGCTCCTCGATGGTCCTCGCCCAAGGAAAAAACGCACACGTCCGAGCGATGCCAGGCGCGAAGGGGGGCAGATCCACGCGCGCAAGCCAGTGCCCGGGGGGGACCACGCGCGCAAGCCATTGCCAGGGGGACCCCATGTGGGCCCGCACCAGAGGCAGAGGACCCCAGAATCGCATCGACGAGTCAGATCGGCGATCGAAGTGGATCGGATCGGCGGAAGTCGGCAGCTGAGTCGGGAAACGTCGAATCGGCGCGGATATCGGAAGGGTGGTATGCCTCCAATGAGAAATCGGAGCCCAAATCGGAATCCCAAGTCGAATCGAATCGGAATCGGAAACAATCGAAATCAAATCGAATCGAATCGGAGGAACCGAAACGAGTCCTGCCCTATGGGCCCGCACCAAAATGCCACTGTTTACGCATGGAGGCCGACCCCATTCTTCGCGCCGTGCCGCAGCGCAAAATAGCGACAAGCAGTATGGGGCGTTAAGGCGGGAACCACATTTTGAAAACGACCTGTCCTCAACCCGAGAAACTCCTTGCTGGTGGTTGTGCAACGGATGTGCGCGGCGCGGAGGCGAGAGCTACACTTCGAAGGGAACATGCCCTGAATCCGTGAGGGTCTTGTTGCAGCTTTTTTTACGAATGTGCGCGCTGATTTTTTTTTGTTCTCCTTGGGGCAATAGCTGTGCAACGGCACAGTGAAACTGTCACGGAATACCTCTTGGAGGTGGTGTCCAGACAGTGCTCGTGTCTCCAGACGAGGAAGGAGGACGGAGGGAATACTATAATGATCAGGAGGGAGCCACATTTTGAAAGCGACCTGTCCTCACACCCTGAAGCTCTTGTGGGGGCCCTGGCCGAGCCCCCGCGGACCGCCGAGAGGCGAGCACGTCTCCTCTCCGCCCTTCTGCCGCCCGTCGACGCGCGCTGGAGCGGCCGCGAGCTGCTCCAGCCTCCCCTGGAGATCTCTGGATCTACTCCAGATGTCGTAATAAAAGGGAGGGGGTCTCAACCCTCCCAGACGAGAAGTTTTAGACCCCCCCCCCCGTGGGAGAACCCTCCAAAGCATCGTCCCCAGACCCCCCCGGGCCCTCCAAGATAGCCTGGAAGAGACCCCCCCCCCGAAATGAGACCCCCTCCCTTTTATTACGAAATCCGGAGTACCTTGGGACGCACAGGGACATGCTAATACTATATGCCCTCCTTGGAGGCGCGCGTCCGACCCGAACATATACATATACCTCTTTTGTTGTGTACCGTTTTTGTATCGCACGCATCAGCGTAAACATGTTGGGGTGGCGCCGATACCTGGATTTACCCGGATGTCTCTCGATGTGTCTGCACTTGCCTGCGCTCACCTCGATCTGTCTGCAGCCAGCCAGCTTTATCTGGCTCGCTCCCCACGAAAGTCGATTGGCGAAAAGTCGTCAACGCCCCAGGGGAGACTGCCCGGAACGAAAGCTGGTCCGGGGTAAAGGGGGCTCAGACCTCTGGGGGCCCACGTGGCGAAAGCATCGCGGCGCCGGGGGTCTGGGAAGAGGGAGGGAGCAGGAGTTAGGTCGGGCATGTACTCCTACAAGCGGATTTTGGGCGAATAATCAAAAATACCGAAAACGATTCAAAACACAAAAACACAACATGTCGAAACATCGTCCCCAAACTATTTGACTATTTTTGAATACTCCTCCTGTAGAGGGACAGGCCCGACTTAACCCAAACATAAGCTTTGGAGATCCGCGCGGACCGTCGAAAGTTCGTGCTTACTGCTGCTCTTTCCTCTGCGAGGGCAAGAATGCCACGGCCGTGGGACGTCAACTATCCACCTCACCCGTCCCAGAAGAGCCCAGAGTCTCAGAATCGAATCGACGAGTCGGATCGGCGATCGGAAACACTCGGATCGGCGGAAATCGGCAGCCGAGTCGGGAGGCATCGGATCGGCGAAAGCCGGCAGGCCAGTACGCCTCCTGTGGGCGATCGGAACCCCAATCTCGGGTCGGGCGAAAGGGGGGGATAGCAAAGGGGGGGGGTGAGAATCAGCTCACGTAGCTGATTTTCCCGGCGCCTCCCGGCGCCGGAGGCGGCCATGTATCGAGGAATGGGCCCCTCGGTGAGGCCGAAACCAGCTGCATGCAGCAAATTTCGTAACCCCCCTTTCCCAATCCCCCCCTTTCGCCCGGCCCGACAATCGGAGTCCCAAGTCGAGCCGAGTGGGGAACCGGAAGCCGTCGGAGCCGGGTCGGATCGAGCTGGAGGCGTCGAAGCGAGCCCTGCCTCACCCGCCGTGGCCGGGCCGATCCCAGAAGGAACAAAAACGCTGTCCGAGCTGAGGGTCGACATCATGGTGGGCACCGGAGGAGGAGGAGGAGGAGGAGGAGGAGGAGGAGGAAGATAGGAGAAGGAGGAGGGGGAGGAGAGGAGGAGGAGGAGGAAGAGGAGGGGAGGAGGAGGAGGAGGAAGAGGAGGAGGAGGAGGAGGAGGGCGGAGGAGGAGGAGGACTTTTTGGCGCTCCGCGCGGATTTCTTGGATCCGCGCTGGGCCTGGAGCGCGCCGGGGGCGGCGACGCGGACGCCGGAACACCTGGAGCCTCGATCCCACGGGAGGCGTCCCCCCCCCTCCCTACCCCTCGCAAAACTCCTCGCCCTCCCCTGAGGAGGAGGAGGAGGAGGAGGAGAGAGGAGGAGGAGGAGGAGGAGGAGGAGGAGGAGGATCGGAGACCGATTTCTAACCACACCCACCTCCCGAGGTGCCTTGCGAAAGGCGGTTTCCAGAGGTGGAGGTGGGCAGTTTCCCAGCCCCAGGGGAAGGAAAAACTACCCACTTCCACCCCCGAGGGCCTATCATAGAATCGAGGATCCAGAGGTGGATGTGGTCAGAAATCGGTCTTCGAGAGGAGGAGGAGGAGGCGGAGGAGGAGGAGGAGGAGGATCCAAGAAAACCGCGCGGAGCGCTACAAATTTATGTTTATATAGCGTGTTTTTTATTCTTCGAGAGTGCGCCCGGCGCGCCCGGCGGGCGGGTGGGCCTCCTCACCGGGCGCGCGGGCGAGGCACCCGAGCTCACGGCACCGGCCCTGCAAAACCGTGCGCCGCAGCGGACTTCTTGCGCGGATCTCTGCCAGTGGCAGGACCCCAAAGCAGCGAGCGAGAAACGAGGCGACCTCCACGTGGGTGACCTTTTCCAGTCCCCAGTCCTGGCCAACAAAAAAAAAGAGAGCCGCACGAGATGCAAGCAGGAGTCCGGAGCGGCATGCTCCGGGACACTCCGGGCCCAGCCCGACGCGTTTTCGGAACGAGCTCCGCCCGGCGAGGCTGGCGCCCTGGAGAAGCGGGCGGGAGCTCGCGCCGTCGAGCGCGCGGGCCCAGGCGGGCGGGCGGGCCCGAGCGCGCGGGCGTGCGGGGCGGGCTGGGCGGGCGACGAAGAGCCTCGGCTCGGGCGAAGGCGGGCCTCGGGCGGGGAGAGGGCCCTGGGCGGCGAGGGTCCTGCGGGAGGGCCCCGGGGCGAAGAGGGCCCCCCTGGGGCGAGGGCGGCCTCGTCGGGCGAGGACGGCTGGGCGAAGGCGCACTCGGGCCGAGGGAAGCCGCTCCCTGGTCTGGAGACCCATGCCCCCGACCTACGAAAGCTGCGTCAAAATCCGTCCCCAGACGCCTTCAGGGGTGCGTCCTGGCCTGGTCAGTCGAGGCGTCCAGCCGTGACGACGAGAGCCTCCAGAGACGCCGGAAAACTTCCAGGACGATGACGTCGTCGATCGTCGGGAGGAGGAGGGGGAGGAGGAGGAGGAGGAGGAGGAGGAGGAGGAGGAGGAGGAGGAGGAGGAGGAGGAGAAGGAGAAGGAGAAGGGAGAAGGAGGAGGAGGAGGAGGAGGAGGAGGAGGAGGAGGAGGAGGAGGAGGAGGAGGAGGGGGGAGAGGAGGAGGAGGAGGAGGAGGAGGAGGAGGAGGAGGAGGAGGAGGAGGAAGAGGAGGAGGAGGAGGAAGGGGAGGAGGAGAGGGAGGAGGCGGAGGAGCAGGAGGCAGGAGGAAGGAGAGTAGGGGAGGGAGGAGGAGGAGGAGGAGGAGGAGGAGGAGGAGGAGGAGGAGGAGGACATCGCTTTTCCCTGCGCCTCCATCCTGCGGCTCTGGAGGATGCATCGGGCGCCACGGCCTTCTCAGAGCGTTCCGGAACGCTCTGAGAGCTTTCCACAACGCCGCTCTGAGAACGGATTTCTCCTTTGGTCGGGCATGTCCTCCTACAGGCGGGTGTTTGGAAGAAGAATTAAACATAGTCAAAAGGCATGCAAAAGCAACCCAATGAATACGAAACCTCGTCGCCAGACTATGTTTCATGAGTGTTCCTCCTGTAGAGCGACGTGCCCGACCTAATCGTAGCCCCGTCCGATTGCTAGTCCCAGCGGCGAGGCTCAACAAGCACAGTCCTGTGGAGGTTCTGGCCCGAGGGCTCGTGAGGCGGCGCGGGGCGCGTGGACGGACTTCTCTAGAAGGCTTCCCTGGGCGCCGCGCGCGCGCGCCTTCTTGGTGCCCGACGCCAGCGGCTGGAAGCCTGCCACGGGGTCGCTAATGATGGACTCGATGGCGTCCAGGCTCGCACCTGGCGGCGAGGAGGACCAGACCTTCCGAGTCTCGAAGAAACCAGCACGGGCCGTCTTCGGACTCTCGAGAGTGCATTTTTGGGCTGTGGTGCGGTCAAGAACGACTCCAGGCCCTGCAGATTGGGACGCATGGGGATGACTTCGTTAAAAAAACGCAAGACGTTGGATCTCTGCGAAAACAAGGAAGAGAAGGACGAGGGAGCGAGAAGAAGGGAGGAGGAGGTTGTCCACCAGTAAGAAAAGTCCGACTCTGCCTCGCTCTGCCCTCTCCTCCCCGCTGGCTGGCGCGACGTGCAGGTATCCGCGGGGGCAAGTGGCCAGAGAGGAGGAGGAGGAGGACTAGGAGAAGGAGGAGGAAGAGAGGGAGGGGAAGGACAAAGACGCCTTTTGCTCCTCCTCCTACTCCACATCCTCCCGGTGATCGTGCGAACTTGTGTTAGCGCCAACGTGTGTTTGACCACCGTAGCCCATACCGTAACGTCGCGCACATTCGTTTGAAGCGCATGCAACTGCTGCACTGATGGACGGCGGCTCTTTCTCAAAGCAGGGGTTTCGCTTTGGCGCTGCGCACATTCGGCTGACAAGGTTGCAGCAAGTGCGAGGATGTAAAACGATTGTGCTTCAAATGGGGGTTTAGGAATGTCACAAGCGGGACATGTCAATATCTCTTTATATATATGTGTATAAATATATTATACATGCGCACACATTACTGCACGACTGGAGGGCAGTTCGTTTTCAAAACGCGGTTCTCGTTTGAAACTTCCTCGCAGTACACGGGGAGTGGGCCTTCTTCAAAACAAAAAAATAGCTGGACAGCTCGTTCAACTGTATGGCCACGCCTTTCTCGCATGCTGACTACGCAGTAGACGGATGCAAGGCAATTCTTGCTCAAGATGGCTTCCAACATGCTCCCAAGAGGCCTCAAAGGCCTCAAGACGGCTCCAAGTTGCCACGGAGCTTTCCAAGGACGCCCCAAGAGGCCAACATCCTCCAAACACCTAAGATTAGGTCGGGCATGTCCCCCTACAGGTGGATTTTGAACGAAAACTGATAAGTGGCCAAACATACTCCAAACATGCCCAACACATCGTCCCCAGACTGTTTTCTATGTTTGAGCATTCCTCCTGTAAAGGGACACGCCCGACTTGAACTTTGTTCGCCGCCCTTTCGCTTCTGATGGGCTGCTGGGGCCTTCAGGGTGGCTCCACAGTCTCCCGAAAGGAACCCAAGAGGGACCCACAAAAGCTCCAGGATGGCGCCCAGTCAAAGAGTGCCCCAAGAGCCAGCCAGGAGGCTCCAAGGCACGATTAGTCGGGCTCCAGGTTGGCGATGCTAATCTTAAGTCGGGCATGCCCCTCTACAGGAGGAATCTTCAAAAATAGTCAACAAATAGTCAGGGGACGTTCTTTAGCATTGTTTGACCATTCTGGTGCATTGTTTGACTATTTTTTATTTTTCGTCCAAAATCCCCCTGTAGGAGGACAGGCCCGACTTAATGCCTATCGGCGCTGATTCCTTTCTCATAGCAAGACTTCTTGCACACACTTGAATGGGTTGGAAGAGGTGAGTGATCAATTCGGGCGCATCTTTGGGAGGCGTTGGGACCAAGATGGATACAACATGGCCCACCACATTGTAAGATGGTCTCCAAGATGGCGCGAACTGATCCGAGTTGGCTCAAGATGGTTTCCAGTATGCCTCTATGATATCTCAAGACGGCCCCAAGGCGACTCCACATGGAGCCTCCCAAGGACGGCCCCATGAGGTCAACATTTCAAAGCAAATCGTGCTTCAATCATTGTCGCCGCCTTCTCGCCTCTGATCGACTTCTGGGGTCTCAGGGTGGCCCCAAGATCACTCAGGACAGCCCGAAGAGAAACCCTGAAGGATCCAGGGCAACCCCAAGAGCGCTCAAGAGCGCCCAAGAGCGCCTCAAGAGCGGCCCAACAGGGCTCCAAGATACGAGTTTGGAGACTTGGGCACTGCCCTTTTTTGATCGATGTCCTCCAACATGGCCTCAATAGGGCCCCCCCACACAGCTTCTCAGACGGCCCAAGAGAACCCCAGATGCCTCTTAAAATTCCCCAGCACCGCAGAATGTGCCCCCGAAAAGTCTTCAAGAAACTCCCAGATCGAAAGATCCGCGACTGTCTTCCTGGTTGGCTAATGAGTCTGTTCAGGCTGATCCCGAGCCTCTGTTTGACGGTTGCCCTCCCCACTGTTCCACTGCATGCTCCTTCGCGTCCATGACCAAGGCAACTCGTCTGGGGATTTTTTCGGGACGGGCTGACGGGAATACACAAAGCAATCGACAACGTACCGATCGCACCAAATGCTGTCGCACGGCGCCCCCGTACCCTGTGGGAAACGACGCCGGGTGACGCACTGCGGCAGGTGACGAACGCACAGGAGACGATGAGCACCGCTAATGACGGCGCCGGTGGCAACGACCACGCTCCCACCACGCGGCGCAGATGTCCTGGTCGCCGATCTGCTATGCTGGACGTTCTCGTCGACCGAGGTCGGCTACACGCAAGAGTGACCCTGGGCAAGAGTGACGAAACATAAATGATAGTCAGAAAATACTCCCAAATTGTCAAACGAGAATCAAAATATCGTCCCCAGACTGCTTTTACTATTTCTGAATATTCCTCCTGTAGAGGGACAGGCCCGATTTCACACCATCGCACCGCGCTCACCGATCGGGGGGGCCCCGGTGAGCCCGCGCCACGGGCCGCTCCGGCGAAGGGTCGCGCTTGCGTGCAGTCGACGAGGCCGCAGCTCGAGCCGCCGCAGCTGAAACCCGCTGCGCTCGCCTCGGCCGCGACCTCCCGCTCTTGTCGACGAGCGCGTTCGGGCGCCGTGTGCGGCCGTGGGCGCCCGCGGGGCGGCGGCCGGCCCTGTTGGGCCGCTCTTGAGGCGCTCTTGGGCGCTCTTGAGCGCTCTTGGGGTTGCCCTGGATCCTTCAGGGTTTCTCTTCGGGCTGTCTCGAGTGATCTTGGGGCCGCCCTGAGACCCCAGAAGTCGATTGAAACGCTTGGCTTTGGAGCGTTGACCTCATGGGGCGCGCAGCTGCTGCTAGGTCGGGCATGTCCCCCTACATGCGGATCTTGGGCGAAACATCAAACATAGCCAAACCATATTCAAGCTCAGTCACACAAGAATAACATAATCGTCCCCAGACCAGTTTTGACTGTTTTTGACTAGTCAGTAATGACATTCTACTGGCGAAGCTTTCGGCGACAAAACGCCAATCAACAAAAAAACGATTTCAACCAAAAATGAGTGGCGTAGCGTTGGTAGAAGCGCAATCATCTGATTGCGAAAGCACGCGAGCCCGCGCGACGTTTCATGCCCAAGTAGGCTACTCCGAGAGAGGTGCGAGCAGCGACAGGCTACTCTACAGGAGGACCATTCAATAGTCCTCCTCTAGAGGGGCGCGCCCGACTGCAAGCTGGTGCGACCTCCTGCGCTGCAGGGTCCTGGGCAGCCCGGACGGCCCACGTGACCAGCCCGAGGCACCGAGGCACCGCGCCGCCCACGGCGCCAGGCGACCGCGCGCCGGTCGCGCAGCCGCTCGTTCCGGGACGCGGCTACAGGGCAGTTTTTAATACATCTGATCAAATCTATGCATGAACTCATCGTTGCTTTCTTAATACTGAATCCCTGCAACTTTTCAGTGCACGATCCGCACGCGGAGCATGTCTTAACAACGGCAGTGTGCTGGAAAGGGCCACCAGGGAGGCGGACCGAAAAGAGGCACGGCCTGAGGGACCCAGGCGCCCCTCACCCTCACCAGTTTGGGCCCAGGCGGCTCGAGCCAAAACGGCTCGAGGAGGAGGAGGAGGAGGAGGAGGAGGAGGAGGAGGGGAAGGAGGAGGAGGGGGGTGGAGGAGGAGATAGGCGAGGATGAGCAGGAGGAGGAGAAGGAGGAGGAAAGAGAACCAGGAGGAGGAGCGGGAGGAGGGTGGGAAGGATGCTGAGGGCGAGAGTAGGGATGAGCAGGAGGACGAGAGGAGGAGAAGGATGAGGAGGAGGAGGCGGAGGAGGAGGAGGAACGGACGAAATGAGGATGAGGATGAGGATGAGGATGAGGATGACGATGAGGAGGAGGAGGAGGAGGAGGAGGAGGAGGAGGAGGAGGAGGAGGAGGAGGATGATGATGATGATGATGATCAGGAGGAGGAGGAGGAGGCGGAGGAGGAGGAGGAGAGGAGGACCAGGAGGAGGGACCAGGAGGAGGAGGAGGCGGAGGAGAAGGAGGAGGAGGAGGAGGAGGAGGAAGAGGAGGCGCTCCCCGCGGCGCGCCGTGGAAGCCCCAGCACGTGTGCGTGCCCGGCTCGAACTCCACCCCCTGGCCCTCGATGGACGTGCGCAGCGCGTCGAAGTAGGGCCTCGCGCTCCCCTCCTGCGGCCGTCCAGGGGGAGGGGGGGCTCGGAGTCCCAGTGCTTGTTTGGCTCGGCAGCCATGCCGGCTCGTCCGGCTCGTCGTCCTCCTCCTCCTCTCCTTCTCCTCCTCCTCCTCCTCCTCCCTCCCTCCCTCCCTCCCTCCCTCCTCCCTCCCTCCCTCCCTCCCTCCCTCCCTCCCCCCTCCCTCGTGGGGAGGGGGGGGGGCTCCGAGACGCTGTGTGCCCGGACGCGGCGCATGTGTAGGCAGCGAGAGCTCGAGGCCCGAGCTTCGAGGGCCTCGGCGTGAGGACGCTCGCCGCTCCTTCTGCGCCCGCGGGAGGCTCCGCGTCGCCACGGCTGGACTCCCCTCGAAGTTCTAGTCAGAACGCACCCCATGGACATGCCGAGGGGTTGGTGCTCGAGGGAGGGACAGGAAGACACCGTGGTCCCCTCGCGTCGCGAGATCAAACACGCTAGAGCACGTGTGCCAGCCTCGCCCTCTGGGATCACCCGACCAGCCCTTCTGCCGTCAGAGAAGCCATCCCAGACGAGGGACCCGCGAAGTGAGGGAGAACACAGTTGTTTTCGCGTGAGTTCAACATCCAGACCGACTTCACAAATGAAACCACGCAACTGTATACTGGGGCCCTGGCCGGATTGCACCAGTGCGCTCTCGGGGACTTCAGAAGGCTCACCGGCACCCTCAACCACGCCATGCCCACAGGACCACGACCACAGGTGGGGGGGGAGGAAAGATCCCGTTCGCCAGGCCTTCGCGAGGCTCACGGGCGTACCCATCCAGCGGGGGGGGGGCGGGCTCGATCCCACATGCATTGGGGGGGAGGGTGGGGCAACCCTGGATCATAAATCCCACCAGCCCTCTGGGCGTAGGTGGTTTAGAGCGTTTCCTCTTCCGCCCCTCCCTCTTCCCCTTCGGGGAGGGGTTCACCCCTCCCCCTCACCCCCTCCCCTGGACCTGGACGGGAGGTCTCGCGGGTCGTTGGAGTGTCCAAGATGGCCCAAGATGGCTCCAAGAGGGCCTCAGAGAGCCCAAGATGACCTCCAAGATGCTCCAAGAGGCCCCAAGACAGCTTCAAGACGGCTCCGAGCGGCCGAGAAGCCCAAATCCTTCAAACACCTAGATAAAATCAATAACCTGTGCCTTCTCGCCTTTTCGCTTCCGATGGCCTTCCGAGGCCTCCAGACAGCTCCAAGAGGGCCCATGAGGGCCCCAAGAGAGGCCCCAGAGAGCCCCAAGACGGACCCAAGAGCGCTCCAAGAGGTGATTTGTGGGCTCCCGAAGGTGGAGGCTTATTAAGGAACCCCCTTCTTTGATCGATGTCCTCCAAGATGGCCCCAAGAGGCGCCCAGGAGGCCCCGAGAGGCCCCAAGATGGCCCCAAGATGGCTCCAAGATGGCCCCAAGAGGCCCCCAGGAGGCCCCCAAGAGGAACCCAAGTGGCCCCAAGAGGCCCCCAAAGGCGCCGAAGACGCCCAAGAGCCCCCCAGGACCGCCGAAGGACCCCCAAGACGTCCCAAGAGGCCTCCACGGAGCGCCCAAGAGATATCCCAAGAGGTTCCGAGAGGCATCCAAGAGACCTGTGGCCCTTTTGCTTGCCCTCCGCCTCCTGCTCCTTCTTCCTCCTCCGACTCCATCTCTTCCTCCTCCTCCTCGTCGTCGTCCTCCTCCTCCTCATCATCATCATCATCATAATCACCATCACCACCATCATCATCACTACCACCACCACCACCACCACCACCACCACCACCACCACCACCACCACCACTACGACCACGACCACGACCACGACCACCACCACCACCACCACCACCACCACCACAACCATCATCATCATCATCATCATCATCATCATCATCATCATCATCATCATCATCATCATCATCATCAGCATCAACATCAGCATCATCATCAGCATCATAATCAACAGCAGCATCATCAGCAGCATCAGCGTCAGCATCAGCATCAGCATCAGTATCATCATCAGCATCATCATCATAATCATCCTATTCATCTGCCTTCGCACCACTTCCTCATCCATCCATCCAGCCTCCTCCTTCTCTTCCTCCCTCCTTCGCACGGTTCGGCCGTCCACCTGTTTGCTCCCGCACTTCCCTGATCACCTCAACTCGCCTGGACGTCGGTTCTGGATGGGCTGGTGGTGATATGCGAATCGTCTAGAATATGTCGCAATCCACCTTGCAACACTTGCCAATGCGATGCAAACCAATGCAAAGCTATGCAAGCCAATATAAAGCAATAGTGCAAACCAATGCGAGTCAGTGCGCAACAAGTCCCAGACGACGGGCGGCGACGAGGCAGCGACGCGGCGGCGACGGCGACAACATATAGCCGCCAGACCAGCAACCCCCCTTCGGACGATGAACGGTGACGAAACGGCGACGGGGCCGCGACGGGAACACCACAGCCGCCAGACTGGCCCCCCCCTTTCCCGTCGCTCGGACGTCCATTTCCCGTGCATGTTTCGGTTTCGTGCGTGTTTTTTTGTTGCTCGATGGTCCAGGATGGTCCTCGACGGTGCTCGCCGAGAAATAAATGCCCACGTGCGAGCAATGCCAGGCCGCAGCCGACGTGCGGCGACGGGGCGGCGACGGCGGACGCGGAGCCGCCAGACCGGCACACGGGCCCAGACGACGAGGCGGCGACGAGGCGGCGGCAGCGCGCACCGGAGCCGCCAGACCAATACGCAGACCCAGATCTGTCGAAAACGTGTAAGAAACCCTACGTGCAACTTTGGGGATATATTAAACAGAAGCATGATAAGAAACACGCCATGCTCATCGGTGGTGCGCTGGCAGCAACACAAGAGAACAATGTCTGTGCACATACACCGATTCTGGCCAGGCCCATCCTGAGCCCAGGATCGGTGCACACGCCCTCCTGCCTTGGCCAGGAAGGCGTAAACACCCATCCTGGACCCAGGATGGGCCTGGCCAGAATCGGTGTATGTGCATTGTCCTCTTCACCCGACAACAATCGGGAAGACGACGACGTAAGACTGGGGTTGGCCTGACATGGCCATCATGACAATGACGAGACCCAGTCTTGAATTTGACGCGAGATCCCGCTGCAAACACCCCACGAAAAGTGGACCGTCAAAATGCAGGACGCACTCGTCAGAGAGCGTCGGCAGACCCGAATTCCGGCGTACTCGAGCCTTACGTTTCCCCGACACAGTGACACCCGTGCGCCGCTGAGGCCGCAGAGCGAAACGCTCGGCGCGGATGCGCCAGGACGTCCATTCCCTGTGCCTTTTTCGGCTTCGTGCGTGGTTTTTTCCGCCAAATGATCAAGGATGCTCCTCGATGGTCCTAGCCGAAGGAGAAATTCACACGCCCGAGCGATGCCAAGGACTCTGGCCCGACTTCCCGAAGCGCCCTGGGTCGGGGCATCTTGGCCGCCGCGCCGGCTGCTGCCTGCCCGCGCGGTGCCTCGGCCCAGAAAGCAGGAGGGCGAGGCGGGCTGCTCGGCGCTGTGCCCTCCTCCTGGAAACTGTTCTCGACCCGCTGCACCCGCACCACGCTGGTGGCGTCCCAGACCTGCTGCGGCTTCAGCTGGTAGATCGCCCGCTCGACCGGCTGAGCCTGGGGCGCCTCCCCCTCCCCCCCCTTCAGACAGGGAAGGGAGGATGGAAGGAGAGAGGACCATGAGGAGGAGGAGGGGGAGGAGGAGGAAGAGGAGGAGGAGGAGGAGGAAGAAAAAAAACACTGATGAGAAGACGGGGCGATGGTCAACTGATCGCTCGAAGATTAATTGAGCATTCGGCTACGGCCGACTCTAGCCTTGGCACCGCCCCGTGGCCCCTCGTCGTGTTGGCCGTCGTCTTTGTCGTCATCCCTCTCGTCGTCGTCGTCTGTCTCACCTCCACCGACCCACACACACCATACCAACAAAATTTGTTCCTCGATTTCGGCCGCCAGAAGTCGGGGGCGGCCAAGAGGGGGGCGTCCAAAAGGGGGATGCGCAAATCATGGCCGGCGGCATACGGGCGACCCAAGAAGGGGGAGGCCTGGAACGTGTTGCGATAAGAAGAGGCGCCATGATATCTAAGAAGATAGCATGGCCCTCGCCATGATAACCCCCCCTACCATGAGATCCCCCCAACTCATCACCCTCCGCTTTGCCACCCCCGAACTGACCAACCTGTGGCACCAGAACTCGGACAGCTATCTGGAATGAAAAACGAGCCACCGGAAAGGGATAGTGAGGCGTGAGGGCCCCGCTTTGGAAAAAACAAAAAAACATGTCTCGAAGGCGTGGGTCCTGTGCCAACGAATATGGTGTGGCAGATTGTGGGAGTACTTTGTGGGTACAAGCCCGACTTGAAGAACAAACAAACTAACTAGAGGGCTGGATGTCATAAGCCGGCTTGAGCTGGGGTCGGCTGGAGCAGGCTGACTTATTACCAAGGAAATTCCAGGGCCAATGGCTAATCCCACCAGCAATCTGGGCGCAGGTGGCACCACGAGTTTTTTTACTCTTTTTTCCAAAAACTCTTCTTCCACTCCGGACGACTCCACCCGCTAGGTCTGGACAGGGGGGGGGCTACTCCTCCTCTTCTTCCCATCCTTCAACCTCGAGGCCTCGTTTTCGGATGGGTTTGTGGGGATATTTTTGTTCGCAACCGCAAGCGGACCGCCGCGCGGCGTCAAGGGGTCGCACGAAAACCAGGCATGGCGGCAGGGCGGATGTCCGCGCTGCAGCAGGCTAGCGCGGAAAATGGCGGGGTCGAAACCGAACGCGAGCGGCGAACGGGCAGCGAAGAAGGACAGGCGACTAACCCCGGCTCAGCTCAGAAGCCGATGATCACGCGCCCGAATACACCAGTGAACTCAACATCCTCGAAAGAGCACGCCGCGTCCCCGTCAGCGCGTAAGCCAATGTGAGGACCGCGAGACCGTAGTCAATCAATATACAGTGAACCGCCCAACGTAAGCCCACGGTGTAAGCGCGCGCGGACCTGGAACGCGAACGGGCCCCTGCATCCCAGGTGCCCCGATTCGGCAGAACGAGTCGTGAGGGGCCTCGGCCAGCGAGGGGCACGCGAGCTCCTGCCGCGAAACCGACCACGGAATATGATCAGCTGCCAGCCCAACCGCTCGCGGGGATACTTTTCTTTGTTCGCAACCGCCAGCGGGCGGCCGCGCGGCGCCAAGGAGTCAAACGCGAGACAGGCCTACGTGGAAAAATGACGGGGCCGAAACCAAGCGCAAGCGGCGCCCGGGCGGCGAGAAAAACGGACAAGGACGACGAGGGGAGGGAGAAAACGGACAAGGGCGACGAGGTGAGGCGAACAAAAAAGAACTAACGCAGGCCGCTCAGAGGCGGGAGATCGAGCCTGGGCACGCCAAGAGCACGTCGTCATCCGGGTACACGTGCCGCGAGAGGAGCCAGCGTGTGGCCTGACTCCCGCGTCATCAGATGCCAGGCGTCGAAGGTCGTGAGCCCGCCAGGAACGGGCATGGAGTACCGCGACCATGAACCAGCGGGCGGCCCGCGCCCACGACGAGCACGCCCAGGAAGAACGCGGAAGCGCCGGCCGCGGGCCGAACCGAAGCACCGGAAGCTGTCCACCCAGCCCGTCCTCCGAGGCCGACGCGGGACCGCCGACGTGGAGCGGAACCTGCAGGCCCGCGCGCCCGGGGGGGCAGGCGTCCTGCAGAGGGGGGAGCGGCTAAAAGCCGCGGGAACTTGAGATGTTCAGTGGGGGGCGGCTAACAGCCGCTGGATGGTCACAATCTGCCCGCTCGGACCCTGCATCGGGGTCCGCCCGCGTCGGTCTGGGACTTGCAGGGGAGGGGCCCGGGAGCTCCAGGAGGACCCGAACAGGGGCGCAAAGCCTTGGGAGGGAACCTCCAGAGGCAGGGGGGGACCGGGAGGGGACCCCAACTCCTCACGGCGGTCGGCCGCGTGCTGGACCTGCCGATGCTCTGCTGGGGTGCGGCTACCACTCGCGGGATGGTGGAAAATGGTTTCGCCTGAGGCCTGCCGATGCTCTGCTGGGGTGCGGCTAACAGCCGCGGGATGGTAGGAAATGGTTTCGCCTGAGACCTGCCGATGCTCTGTTGGGGTGCGGCTAACAGCCGCGGGAATTGAGTCAGTCGCGTGCGAGTAAGCGCACCTGGTGGACGCGGCGAGGGCAGCCCGACAGGAGAGGGGGGGGGCGGCTAGCAGCCGCGGAGTTACTGGGAAGACGTTCGGACCTGAGCACCACATGCGGGGGAGCAGCAGACGCAGGAGGGCGGCTAACAGCCGCGGGATGGTTAAAAGTGTCGCTTCAGGTATGAGGTAGCGTCCCAGGCGACTCGGTACAGTCAGCCCATTGAAAGGGGGGGCGGCTAACAGACGCGAGGAAGTAGTCCGATGGGACGGTTGTGTGCATGCCAGACCCCCCCAGGAGAGAGCACGCAGGGCGCTGCACGTGTGCGGGGCAGCAAGGGGCTGCAAAGGGGGGCTGCCGCAGGGGCTCTAGCAGTAGCAGGGGTCCACTAGAAAGGGGGCCAGTCCCCAGGCCGCCTACAGCGTGACGGGGGGGGCGGCAGTCATCCAGGGGGAGAGAGGCCGCTTGTGGGGATACGCGAAGCATCAAGAGTCCAGCCAGATGCAAGCGAAATCATTGGTGGATACGCAAGCCTGGCCTAGCAAGAGAGGCTTACACCGATCCCAGGCACAGGATTGACCTGGTCAGGCTCGGGGCATCTGAGTAGTTAGCGTCCCCCGATTGATTAACACTACCTTCATCATCATCGTCATCATCATCATCATCATCAGTATCATAATCGTCATCATCATCATCATCGTCATCATGATCATCATCATCACCACCATTATCGCCATGGTCATCATCATCGTCGTAACTATCATCATCGCCGTCATCACTATCAGCATCATGAGCATCATCATCACCATCATCAGCATCATCATCAGCATGATCATCATCACCATCGTTATCACCATCATCATCGCCACCATCATCATCATCATCATCCCCATCGTCGTCATATGTATCATCATCATCCTTATCATCATTCTCGTCCGCATCACCACCACCATCACCATCATCAACATCATCATCATCATCATCAACATCATCGCCACCACCACCATCACCACCACCATCACCATTATATCATCAGCATCACCACCACCATCATCATCATGATCATCATCGTCGTCGTCATCATCATCTGCATCCTCAGCGACATCATCATCAACATCACCATCATCCTCATCGTCAACATCGTCGAAATTAGCGGGATCATCATTATCATCATCAGCAGCATCAGCATAAGCATCACCACCATCTTCATCCTCATCATCCACATCATCATCGTCATCGTCACCACCATCAACCTCCTCCTCCTCCTCCTCATCATCAGCATCATCAATACTATCATTATCATCACCGGCACCCACGTCAGCAGCATCATCATCAACATCAACATCAACATCATCATCATCATCATCAGCATGATCATCATCATCATCATCATCATCATCATCATCATCATCATCATCATCATCATCATCATTATCATTACTATCATCATCCGTAGCATCCGCCTGATCCTCATCATCGACGTCGTCATCATCATCCCTGCTACCACCATCATCGCCATCGTCGTCACCAACCTCATCGTCATCATCGCCACCACCATCGCCATCAGAATTACCATCATAATCATCAGCATCATCACCATCATCATCACCAGTACCAGTATCAGCATCATGATCTTCATCATCTTCAGCATCGTCGTCGCCGCCGTCGTCAGCATCATCGTCATCATCATCAGCAGCAGCATCAGCATCGTCATCAGCAGCATCAACATCATCCGCATCCTCCTCATCCTCAACATTATCCTCGTCCTCATCCGCATCATCATCAACAACATCATCATAATCAGCATCACTACCGTAATCATCCTCATCATAACGATCAGCATCATCATCATCATCAGCATCATCAGTAGCAACATCATCAGCAGCATCGGCATCATCCGCATCATCATCATCATAATCCACATCATCATTGTCATCGCCAGAACCATCATCAACCTCCGTCTTACCATCATCATCATCATCATCAAGATCATTATCATCATCCTCATCATCATCTTCATCATCATCAGCATCAGCATCGTCAGCAACATCGGCATTATCATCATCACCACCATCGTCATAAGCATCATCATCATCATCATCATCATCATCATCGTCACCCTCAACATCATCATAAGCGTCATAATCATCATCATCAGCAGCATCATCGTCATCATCATCATCATCATCATCATCAGCAGCATTCTCATCATCGCCATCATCATCAGCATCATCACCCGCAGCATGAGCATCAACATAATCATCATCAGCAGCAGCATCATCATCGTCATCCTCAGCATTATCAACAACAACAACAACATCATCATCATCATCATCATCATCATCATCATAATCATCACCATTGCCCCCAGGAGCAAGCTGACAAAAAGAATAGGTAAACAACGACGCCGACGGCGACATGTCGCTACATCGACGCCTTGAAGACCGTGTTGACGAGGTCGAACTCCTGGAGCGGGCAAAAGTTCAACAAGCAAGGAAGTTCACTGCTCATGAAGGGGAAAGGGCGGAAGTCGGTGGGAACGGACAGGAAAGAAGAGAAGCGAAGGGTGCAGTCAAACAAAACAACTCGGCTACGTACCCTCCTAGCACCCAGGTTAACTTGGCCCGCTCGCCACACGAGAGGTGGACAACAACATGTGAGCACTACCCTTAAAGGGCCCTGGAAACGACAGGGCCGTTTTTTTACCGGTGCCGTTCTGCCGTTTTTTTGTCGGTTCCGACGCCGTTTTTTTACCGGTTCCATCGCCGTTTTTTGACCAGTTCCGGCTCTGGTTCCAAGCCTGGAGCCGTTTTTTTGCCGTTTCCGGTCGCCGTTTTTTTGCCGTTCCATTTTCAAGGGGCATTTTGTGGGAAAGTGTGGAAAAACGGCCCTGCCGTTTCCGGGGCCCACAAAGGCACTACCCCTACCAATTCAAATCCTTGGGGCCCCTCGGAAACGGGTGTGGGCTCCGAACCTGCGAGCGGGCACAAACGAAACGAACCCCCATAAGTGAACCCATACGGTGAAGAGGCCCACAAACACACAAATAAATACACACAAACAAAAATATTCAGAATATTTTCTTATAATTTCTGGGTTTTTGTCTTCCCCACCACTTCCCATATTTTCCCATATTTTCTGGGAATCGCCGATTGATTGTGTATGTGTGTGTTTTTCCCCTCCTGAACGAAGCGATCCCCCAGAAGTGAACCCATACGGGCCGAAGCCGATGGGCGGCGGGCGGCGGGGCTCGGCGTGCGTCGCCGAGGACGGGAGGAAGGAGGGAGGGGGAGGAGACGGACGTTGGAGGGCTGGAAATGGGCACCAACACCAAAACAGGGTGTTGCCTCCACAGGGGGAAGATGATCCTAGATTTCGGTGTTGGTGGTAACACCTTTGGAGCCAGGATATTACCACCATCACCGAGATCAGGATCTTCTTCCCTCGGTGGAAGCAACCCGCCGATATTGGTGTTGGTGTCAACCTCTAGGCCTGCGAGGACGAGGACGGTGCAGGGGCAAAGGTGCGGCAGCGTCCGCCGCGAAAGCGCAGCCCTGTGCGGCGCTCGCTGTCCCAAGTCCCAGAACTCAGAGCGACCCACGCCGGAAGCACGCCACGGAGAGTCGCCGTGCCGAGGCTCGCTGGCGCGGACGTCCTGCAGAGCAGACGGTCGCCGTGCCGAGCCGTGGAGGTCCCGCGGCAGCCGGGCAAGGGCCGCGCGCCAACATCGCTGGGGCCCCCCCCGCCGCAGGCAGCTCCAGCGGGCTCCCCGCCGCGGGCCGCACCCTCGACGCGGAGGAGGCAACGGAATCCGCTGGCTGTCGATCTGCCGCCCGGCGACGGCGACTCAGAAGAGGCCAACGTCATCGATTTCGGGCTTCCGTCAGCTCAAGACGGCCCAGGAAGCCTCCGCGATGGCCCCAAGACGGCCCAAGAGGCCACCACGAAGATACAGAGATGGCCCACGAGGACCCTACGAGGGCCCAAGAGGCACCTCAGACTGTCCCAAGAAGGCCCAAGAAGGCCTCCTGTGGAACCCAAGACGGCCTCAGAAAGCCATTGAACGGCCCAAGACGAGGCCATCATCATCATCATCATCATCATCATCATCATCATCATCATCATCAGCATCAGCATCAGCATCAGCATCAGCATCATCATCAGCATCAGCATCAGCATCAGCATCAGCATCATCATCAGCAGCATCATCATCATCATCATCCTCATCATCATTCTCATCATCATCCTCATCATCAGCAGCATAATCATCTTAATCAGCAACCACATCATCATAAGCATCATCATTATCAACATCATCAGCAACAAAATCATCATCATCAACATCATCATCAACAACACCATCATCATGACCGTTATCGTCATTATCACCATCACTATCGCAATCACTATTACCATCATCATCAACATCATCATCACAACCACCACAACAACCATCAACATCATCATCATCAGCATCATCATCAACATCATCAACATCATCATCGTCATCGTCATCATCACTAGTCATCATCCTCATCCTCCTCATTCTCAAGCTCCTCCTCCTAATCCTCATCCTCACCCTAACCACGGCTCTCCCAAGCCCGGAGACACGAGGTGTCACGCGTGACGGTCTCTCCTGCGCCCTCGAGCGGTCGCCGCCCAGCATGCTGGGCGGGCGCGGTGGAGGGATTTGGCGCAGGCAGCTGGACAATAAGAGGAGCCTGGCCGGGGGCGGGAGGCGGGAGGCAAGACCCGAACGACTCGTTTGATTACACTTACACGCATGCTATCGAGCTGCGCTCCATGAGGGACCCGGGCGCTGACCGAAGCGCCCCGCGGGTGCAAGCACGACGGTGTGCGGCACCCTTCGCATCTCACGTTAGCCTGCTGCCGCCACGATATGCGTGCGGGTGCGAGAAACGCGAATAGCCAACGCGGCAATGGGCTGCGCGTAGCGGCGTAGCGCAACATGTCTGCATGCACTGTCAAGAAGCCTGCAAAAGAACACCACAGTACTGTGCGCACCACGCCGCGCCTGTGGGCAGCATAGTGTGCCCCTTTTTGCGAGGCCGTGGTGCGCGCATACGCAGCGACCGCGCCTTGCCGCGAGGCTGAGGTGCACACCTCCGCTGTGCGCGACGAATGTGCCGGGAGAGCGCACCGCGGGGGAAGGGGGGGGGGCTTCGTTATTGGGGAGGATGGGGAGGGCGGCCACAAAGCGCGTTATGGCCCAGGCCTTCAAGAACTGAGAGCCGAAGGCGGGCCTCATACATGTAGGGCATCTCCAGGATTCCACGAGAGGACCCCACGGCATTCCAAGTATCCCTTATGCGGCCCAGGGGGCCCCAGAGGATCGCATGCAGCGCGAAAAGATGGGGACATCATGGGCCAGCCAGACGCATTTCTGGCAAGCCCTGACACGCGTGAGCGACGAAAAGACAAAGTCTTGCGCACAGTGATTCCGCGACCGCACGCGGTGGCAGACACGGGCCGCCAACGAAGCACGCCGCAGCTGAGGAGTTGCGGGCGACCTCACCCCCGCAGATTGTGTTCCAAAGTCGCCACAATCGACAGCGTTTCTTTGCGCTGTTCATGCGAACCCCCCTACCCCTGCACGGGGGTGGGTTCAGAATTTGAAGGATGTATGCAGCCAGGTGAACCCCAGCGAGGGTGTCCTACGCCCGAACGTCGGTTGTACTCGCAGAGATAGGATAATGTCGGCATGACGTCGGCGTAGGCTTCCGGCACAGCGTGAATCGGTCGCCCTTGACTGATCGCGGCTTTCCGACAGCGCAAGGCGTTCGATGTCGGCCGACTTCAGACCACTGGCGGCATTCAACCTCGATGGCTCAAGATGGGGTCACCGAGGCGTCAACGCGGCGCGAAACCACCCTGTTTGGGTTCGACGTCCACGACGGAGGTTCGAAGATATTGGGGCGCTGTTGGTTCATCTTTGAGGTTGCAGGAGCCTCAAGAGACCTACGTGGAGGGACACCCTGATCTCTCCAGCCTTCCCCCCGTCCCTCCACCCAAAACGTCGTCACCACGTGACGAGTGGACCCTCATCCTTCCGTGCACGATCATTCGTACACTCACTGCGTTCCCGCGTTCGCATTCGCCAAAGAGTGCTTGCACTCTTAGGTTCTTACATGGCTTTGTCACATGAGCGGATGTGCTTCCGTGGTTTTCGCCACGCTGGCGCCCAGGCCCACTCGCTCGGCTGCACGCAAGAGTGACCCTGGGTAACAGTGACTTTTGGTGCGCGACTTTTTGGGGGGCGCGAGGGGGCCAAACACGAGCGCGCAAGACGCCAACATCGCAACGAGCGCGGCGATCGGGGAACCCCAGTGTGCCGGCACCAAAGGCCACTCCGGCGAAGGGTCACTCTTACGTCTACTTTAGTAGTGGAAACAATTGGTTTTCAAAATGTTTGGTCTTTGGAAGCTCTGCGTGGCGACGCCCCCGTCGCCACGCGTGCCCTCTGCGTGCCTGCGGGGGCGCCGCCACGTAGAAGTTCTGGAGACCGAGCATTTTGGGCGTCGCTACGCACGCCCTCTGCGTGGCTGCGACCATTTGTTGAAACCCTAAAACCAAGTAAATTCACAAATAAAGTAGTCGACTCGCGGGCGCTTCGCGTGCGCCCAATGCGCTGGGTGAATGTCCCGAGGCTCCGTCGCGAAGCCCCCCGGGAGGCAGGCGGGGAATGTGGGCCCCCAGGGAGGAGGAGGAGGAGGAGGAGGAGGAAAGCCATTTGGCCTCTTGGGGCCAGCCGATCCCGATCGATCCATCGGGGTCGGTCGGCGCCTGCCGCCCGATCGATCGCGGTGGCAGGGCGCATCGCGCATCGGCCAGCCCCCGAGGCCGGGCTAACGCGCGCCGCGCGCCATATTCTGCGGCAGGGGGCCACCCGTGCCTCCCTGTCCCCTGCCGCAGGCCGCGGCGCTCGCGGCCGCGCTGCGGCCCAGCGGCGGGACGCCGCGACAACGCCGAGGAGGAGGTCCAGAGGGCGCTGCCCACCGCCGCGAGCGGCAGCAGAGAGCCCAGGACAGGCTCCTGCTCCGCCTGCGGGCAGCGGCCGAGCGCCTGGCCGCCCACCACTCTGCCCAGCCAGCGATGGCCCGTGACGGTAAGGGCAGAGGCAGTGGTGGCCGCAGCGGCAAGGGCCAGGCCCAGGAGGAAGCAGCACCGCCAGCAGCGCCCCCATGGCGCCAGGAGAGGTGGCATGGCGCTGGCTGGCGAGAGCAGCACTGGCACGCCGAGCCAGCAGGTGAGGACCCGCCCTGGCGCAGGGAGCCGTCGCGGCCACGACGCTCTGGCCAGGCCAGCCCTCGCCAATGGCAGCAGCAGCAGCAGCAGCAGCAGCCCAGTCAGCCTCCCTGGCAGCAGCAGCAGCAGCAGCCCAGGGCGGGCAAGGGTGGCCAGGCCAGCTCCAGCAAAGCGGACCAGCGAGCTCAAAAGGTCATCGA